CACCGGTCAGCAGGAGGTGTGGTGGAGTGACCACCGGTCAGCAGGAGGTGTGGTGGAGTGACCACCGGTCAGCAGGAGGTGTGGAGGGGTGACCACCGGTCAGCAGGAGGTGTGGTGGAGTGACCACCGGTCAGCAGGAGGTGTGGAGGGGTGACCACCGGTCAGCAGGAGGTGTGGTGGGGTGACCACCGGTCAGCAGGAGGTGGGGTGACCACCGGTCAGCAGGAGGATGTCAGACTGCATAATTCCAATTCAGCTCCAATTTGATTTAATTATTACGGAAAAGGATCAGGGCCACTGAAAAAATAAAAAAAATATAACTGATCTTTAAATTTTGTTTCAGTATAATATGAAAAATAAGTCAGAAGTTTGACTCTAATCTCAGAATTTTGACTTTAATCTCAGAATTTTGACTTTAATCTAAATAATTTGACCTATTTCTCACAATTCTGACTTTAATCTAAGAATTCTGACTTTAATCTAAGAATTCTGACTTTTTTCTCACAATTCTGAGTTTAATCTCAAAAATTTGACTTTATTCTCACAATTCTGACTTTTTTCTCACAATTCTGACTTTAATCTCAAAAATTTGACTTTAATCTCAGAATTTTGACTTTCATTCCAAAAAATTGAATTTAATCTCAGAATGTTGACTTTAATCTAAATAATTTGACTTATTTCTCACAATTCTGACTTTGATATCAGAATTCTGACTTTTTTCTCAGAATTCTAACTTTTTTCTCAGAATTTTGAATGTTGACTTTAATCAAACAAATATGACTTATTTCTCACAATTTTGACTTTAATCTCATAATTCTGACATTTTTCTCACATTTCTGACTTTATTCTCGGAATTTTGACTTTAATCTCAGAATTTTGACTTTAATCTCAAAAATTTGACTTTAATCTAAAAAATGTGACTTATTTTTCACAATTCTGTCTTTAATCTCAGAATTTTGACTTTAATCTCAGAATTCTGACTGAATTGTGACAGCTAAGCCTCAGAGGAAAGAAAGAAGACCAGAGTGGGAGGTACCTACAGTATCGGTCACTACGTAGACCTGTTCCAGTGCATCATCATTACAATTCTAGTATTATGTTTTTAGTAGAGGCCTGCAAAGCCTTGTCCAGAATGCATTTCTTTGCACCATATTTTTTTCTCCCACACTGTTTACATTTGATCCCTGCACTTTAAGAAATGTAATATAAGCTGTACAAAAAAAAATTGTTTTGTTTACACTGTGTATACAAAATGACAAGTTGTCTAAGTCTAAGAATATTCTAGTCAAAGTCCAGAACTACAGCTTCTTTTTTTTTTGCTTTCTTTCCTCAGATTCGGCCACCATTACGAGATGCCGCTGCTGTGGCAGAGCATCATCATGATCGGCACCATGCTGGTCATGCTGAACCTTTGCACCGACGTCCGGATGGCCGCAGAACTCAACACCAAGAGACGCTCCTTCTTAGGTCAGAGACTCTGATAAAACACCCGTGTTTACTGCAGCTCATTGAATATAAATAAAAGGCATTTAGAACAGAAATTTAGGTTTAGGGTAGATCTCTGTGCTAAACATGAACTTTTTAGATGTGACGTTTCTCAGGAAGCATCATGAGTAAAATACAATCAATCTGGAACCTGATGCTCCAAGAAAAGAAGAGCAAATCCCTTTAAAGTTTCTACCTCCCAAACTTAACTTCTTCATCTTTTATCTCTTTTCATCCACAAACCTCTAAATGTATTCGTGGTTTTTCATTTTCTTTACTTTATATGACAAAACAAGACACATTTCCACATAATAATGAAGACGAAGGAAAAAGAAGTATGGTTTCCAAATGTTGGAAAATGAAGTTCAAGTATAGAAAGTTATGCATCCTGTTAAAGTATGATACTGCCGCTACCGAGTGAAAAAATGTGCATTCAGGGTCTGTATAAATAATGGCCAACTGATTTTTATTCATTTTTTCCCTCTTGATATGGAAATAAACAAAATCGGGAAAAGAGCTGTTTTTTAAGATGGAGTATTATGGCCAGGCTAGACCCGCTCTATTTAGTGATTGAGGGATTTAGGGGTTAGGGCGGATGTTCGGGCAAAGTAAGCTTGTAT